TGAGTTGTATATACCATTAATAAAGGGTGTTTTTGTATTTTAACTACATTAATTAATGTCTTCTTAGTTTTGATGAATTCTCTAGAAAGACATATTAAAAAAAAAAAATAGAGGGAGTACTTTTTTGGCAATATTATATGGTATATCCAATGTTTGGTTTAAATTTTAATTTAATTATTACAAATTGTTCTAAGAAAAAAAAAGAAACGAGAAGTAAAGAGGCGCATAAAGCTAAAAGGATCGTCCTAGATTTCAAAATTACATTATTAAAAAGAAGTTCAAATATTCAAGGTTTTACTTATGTCTCCTACGACGTGGACGGAGATACAAAGATTCGAAATATTATTTATCAACAGATATTCGACCTCGTTACCATATAAGATATTTGTCTACCTTTTATATTTGTTTCGATAGTTATAATTTCAATTATTCAATATTGAAAATACAACAATATTTACAACTAGATGCTTGCCCGGGACAAATGCCCGGAGTGCCGCCTGTATTTTTAAATCGATTAAATAAAAAAAATCATCGTTAAAAGAATAAAAAAATAGAAGAATAAAAAATCGATTGAAGGGATAGAAAATGAGTTAGTACACATAAATCTATGCCCGGGTTTACAACATTTAATTTACAACAGTTAACTTATGCCCGAGTTTATATAAATCATAAATCAATACCTACAATAGAAGAATAAAAAAAAAAACAAATCATCTTTAAAAAATCTCCTTCCATGAACACTTCTTTTTCTTCTGTTGTAGTAATAGATAAATTGATAATTGATGTCAGATTTTAAGTAGTTGATTTGAAGGCTCGATATGAGAGAGGAGCGGAATGGAAGAGATCCTTTGAGATTGGGGATTGGTGAGACGTTACTAGCAGTGCTGTTTCACTTGATTTAAGGAATTTTTTGACATTTGATTTTATCAAATCAATATTGCTGTTTTAAGGGATTAATATACCTATAATTAAGGGACTTTTATGTAGCTATAATTAAGGGATTTATTTATTTATTTATTCCATTGTCTTTTTTTTTATTAGTTAGAGTGTCACGTGTCAAAAATGATTTTGTACTGAAAAAGTCTTTTGACTAGAAAATTTTCATTGTGGTGCTGACACATGTACTTTTTGTTTGCTGCTTTAATTAAGTACTACAGATATCAATTAATCTAATCACCATTAATGAATTTTTCTAATTTTAAAAATTCCAAAATAATATTAACAAAACTAACTTTACCTTAAAACAAACAATTTTTAACCTCGAGCACTAGTTATTTCTTTAATTTCATTATTGTTACCATGTAGGAGCAATGGTTGCACTTCAAATATCCATTGTGATTCTTGACCCTTCCCATTCCCGTTACCACATCTTAACTCTTGTTTTCTGATCTCTTGTAGGATTAAGACGAATGGAAGATATGCAGCTGAGGGGAAAGCTTATAGTGCACCAATTTGATTTGGTTATTGATCTTGTTATGCACACTTTTTGCAACCGTCCTCCAAAAAGAAGAAATGTGAATGCATCTTTTTTTTTTTTTTCTTTTTGACAGAATGGACTTTCTGCTTTTATTTGGGAATGAAGAATGAAAGAAGAGAAGACTCTTAGCCGTGGGAAATTGATCAAGAGATTTGGTGAATGGAAGAAAAGATAAAATTGTAATAAGTTTTAGCTTGAACGTTAGAGATCATGAATTCTTGTATAGCTTGTTGAAGAGTGAGTTGTTCATATATAAGTTAATTTGGATTTTTTTTTCTTCCTTTTTCTGGGTTAGTGCTACGTTTGGTTTGGGTTGTACGGTATTTCTTAATTTTTATTACTATAATAAGAAAAATTAATTCTCTTGAAATATATTATTTTATTTAATTTCTCATAAATCATTTGTGCGATTTTATATTAATTGTAAATAGTTAGTATTGAGGCTTTAGAATAAATGATTAATGACGTTATAGATAGTTTATCGAGGCACTTAAAATGCCTCTATGATTATTCCACGAGGCCTTTAAAGTGCCTTTACAAGTTATATATTATCACATTTGGTAATGTCATTAGAAACTATATATAACTACATTAAACTTATAATCACATTGAAATTAAATGCACTTTTTTAAAATGCCTTAATAGATAGAAGTGTGTTAAAAGCCCATGTATTATGGCATTTTTGAGTGCCTCTAAACGGCCTTTTTCTAGTAGTGCAATTTTATGATTTGTCAGATAGTCTGCTGTACTATATACAAATAAGGTCTCGGATTTCGATTTTAGATTTATTATGACGAATTTCTTTTCCTAATTAGTGTGGGAACAATTTCTTTCTGAATTCTGATGATTAACTCCAATCTCGTATACAACTTAGTTAGACCATGTCCGCATGTTATTTGATAAATTAATGTCGGGAAAAATCTCATATTTCATGGACTATATGGTTTCGAGTTTTTTTCCCCCTTTTTTTAGTAAAGAAGTTAATTTTTTTTATGAGTTATGACTTTCATTATGAAATAGAAAGTATATACAACTGTATTACTATTCCATATCATCAGTATACATGATAAAAAACAGTAGGAGAGTCATCTCCCTAGTCTCCTACTAACAACAACAGAGTCTAATCTAATCTTGTTTTACCAAGTAAAAAGTTTTGAAGAGTTGAGAATTTTTTAATTGAAGCATATCTAATCTGCAAGTGTAGGATGATTGATCTCGCCGACCTATCTTAGACTCTTTCGGGTTGGCTTCGGGTATTTCAAATGTTTGATCGATCTTTTTAAGGAGAGAAGAATTTCTTTATTTTGAAGCTAGCTAATGAACCTTTCATGGATTTTAAGCTTCAACCAATTTGTCGATGTCTAAAAAATATCTCGATAATCAAGTACGATCTTGCGAAGAAATAAAAACTGTACATTATATATCCTAATGTAATTTGGTGATTTAAGTGAAAATAATTGAAGCTGAATGTGATAGAGTTGAACAATGTATTAGTATATCTGTTGCAGGAGTAGTAGATTAATGTTTGCTCTTTAACACTATTCGATGCTTTTTAGGATGCAGAAACACACAGCTAAATCAAAACAATATGACAAAGAGAACTGCTTTTTTTGAACGGAGACATTAATATTTTAGGGAAAAAAAGGGTGCACTATGCGGGCAAAAAGCACTAGTTTTAAAAGATTGCAATTGTTGAATTGTTCTATTATAATTGACCACATATCATTCTAGGACAGAAGTAATGCCAATTGTAAAGGCTGGATCAAACAAAAATGTCAATTACTTGCCAATTACTGTCTCGCACACAATGTGGCAACCTCTGCCAAATCTATTGATAGAGTCTATAAATTGTGTTTTAATTGTTGATATTTTATTAGTTTATGGATTCGGATGGATTTAATTCATTGATTTTATTATTATTTCTTGTTAGGAGCTGGAAATAAGAGATTGGAGCTGATTTGGGCTAATTTGCACGATCAGGAACTTAAATGCAAAATTAAAGAAGTTTTGGAGCAAAAGTGAAAATATTACAAAGTTGAGGGACCAAAACTGCAATTCATCCGCCTTTTGCTGTTTTCCTGCGGCTGACCTAATTTTATTATAAAAAGGATTATTAGTTTTGTAAGGGGGCAGCCGTACGTGAGGCAAGGCTAGCACCTCAAACCTTTTATTTCTTCCAATTTTTCTTGAATTTCCATGGAGAATAAAGCCGTCATATTTCCGTCCATGAGTGGCTAAGGATTTTCATTACTGATTCAAGGGATTAATTCAGTTGTTTCATTGTGAGGTTATTTTTTAATTCATCTTTCTTGGTTTTAATTCTTGTGTTTGTTGATTCTAGTTTTATTTCATGAAAGTAATATCATTTGAATTGACAACTTGATTGAGTTTTGCTTTCTATTGCTATCTATTAGTTGAATGTTACGTAATAGACACGGACCAATAGTACTAAGTAGTAATTAGGCTATGTATGTGTGTTAGTGAGACATAGGATGCACATGCTAGTTTAAATGTGGAATCAACAAGACAAAATTAATTAATTGTAGCTATCTCTGTTAGTTGGTTTTGGTTCAACTAGTTTTTGTGTGTATTGCTGTTGTGGCTAGACATGGAACGTTATCGTGCCCAGTCTGTCATAGCAAGATTTGTTTGAATGCTGGGTATGGTCAACGTTTTTAGAGAAATCTGAATTTGTTTATGGCTATCCTAATAAATTTGGGGGTTGAATACTTGAATGCAAGAATGCCTTTTTTAACCTATGATCAGTGAAATAATTAAGTTGTCCGTCCCTTTGATCAGTAGTTTGTTACTTGGATTTCTTTTCTTTTATTTAGTTTTTGTTATTTGTATTTCATTATTTTAGTTTAAAAAAACAATCCAAAAATCTCCTTTGCATTAATTTGAAGGAAACAATCCATCGTTCCCTGAGGAGACGACCTTACTTCCCTATATTACAGTAGTTTGAAGTAGGTTATTTTATTTGTGTGGATTTGACACTCCATCATCCATGTACCTCCTCCTCCCTCCTCCTTCAATAAATTAAGGAACTAATTCACCACTGTAAAGTACTATTCCTTGATAATTTTACTTGATATATTTCCCCTTGTATTTATTAAATGTTAATAATCTCATAATCTTAGAGAGAGGTTTAGGCTCACATTTATTTTAAAAGTGAGGAGCTTTCTTAGATATTGTTTAAACATTCATTTCATTGGAAGATTTAAGCTTTTGTTATTCTAAATTCAAAACGTGATATCCTCTTAGCAATAGGATGATCTATTTTTAATCAAATAATGAAACAAAAGAATGACTAAACCTTATTAATAAACAGCATCATCAGCTGAAGCTGCACCAATAAATTTACAGAGTCAATTTAGTGTTGGTTAAAAAAAAAAAAAATCAACAATGTACTACCTTCTACTGATTCATAATGTAGTTCAATCGCTTCAGGAACGATTGCCGTTTATGCTTTGCTAGAATTCCTCAAGGTTGTAATTTGGCTTGATCATAGTGGGATTATCACAATTGCTTTGGGCTATCAACAAGCTGCTGCAGGCCAATTCTCAAGGGTATTCAGGAGCGAGTCCATGTCTTGGTTCCCTGGCTTCAACAATTCGTCCAATTCGAACCAAAGGTCCGAGTTCGACAAGTCTTCCTCATTTATTGAATAGTTTTCCACCACAGTTTCTGAATCTTCAAGACCCGGAATTGTCTCTTGCAATGCTTCCGGATCATAATTAGCGCTGGAGTCCAGCAGAGATCCATTACTGCAATTGCCTTGGAGGCTATTATTATTCATACTCTGTCTCTCATCTTCACTATAACTCGATATCTGAGATGATGATGAATACGAATAAGTTGATGGCGATGACATAATCACCATCTTTCTTGATTTGGTATCAGTATCAGAACCCGAAAATTTCCTCTTTCTAGAAACCAGTCTTCCACCCAAGGAACTCTTTGAGTCGTCTCTTTTGATTTTACACAAGACGATATCCTCCCAATCGAATTGGGCAGGATTGATGTTATGGGCTACCGGGTTGATATTGTATTCCATCATATTCCATTGTCCCACTGTTTCGTGGGTTGAAGACCTGAAAGTGAAAGATCGCCGGAATCCGATCACTCTGGAATACTCTCCGTTCTCATCAGCTTCGGTGACCGGCTCTTTCGTTCTATTTCCATGCCAAGTTCCACATCCGGCCACCCTGTTCTTCTGCTTCTTCTCGGATTTCTCTGTTTTCCCAACATTAGAAAGCTTGGTCAGAACATAAAGAACCGCCTCTGAAACCTTCACGTTTCCCGAGGGATCAAAGGAGGGAAGCCATGGAATAATAAACCGATTCTTTTGGTCGGAACAGAACAACTCCCAGGGAGTGGCGTCCTTGCCGTACATGTCCATGTCGATTAAGAACTGTGAATCGGAATCCGTTAAAGGGATGCCCAGAATCTTGTTCTTGAGGTAATGGCTCACGAGTTCCTCCTCCGTGGGATTGAATCTGAACCCCACCGGAAAACCCATTCTCGGATTACCAAAACAGAGGCAATTTCTCTCACACCCTGAAGCGTTATTTGCAACAAATTAATTAATCTCTCCGGTAAAGAATTGCAGAGGCAGAAATTAGCAAAAACAGAGACAATTTCTCTCTCTCTCTGGAATCAGATCTCGGATTGCTCTCTCTTAATCTGATTTCTGAGAATTGGGAAGTGGGGTAACTTATATTTATAGATTTATTATAAGAGTTTCCTAAAACTTCACAAATCCAATTCCGAATCGAATTAGGAAATTTTTGCCCTAGTTTAGTTTTAGGAAAGTTCTCGCCGGACGCGGCATTTAACCGGCTCCTTTCTGATCGACTATATGGTCCACGATCTGACGTCAAATAACCATAAGGATTAATTAAAGACGAAAATTCCACAAAAATTTATTTACCGTATTAGTTTTAAACAAACTCGTAATTATTTTGTATCAAATTATGTCGCAATGATGCTCTGATTTTGGCGAGTTTATTTGAAAATTGGAGATTTTCCAGTTAGATGGTTAGTTTACACATTAGTTTACACATTATATTTTATAATTATTTTTATATTTCAAAAGTAAAAATGTTGGTAATTTGATTTGTCGAGTGAAAAATCAGAGTAACGTTTTATAGGAAAAAATATAACATAATTACAGTCATAATGTCATCGTTGTAAAAACTACTCCATTATTCGGTGAACTATATAACTTGAGAATATTGTGTAAATAAAATTTTAAAATAGAAACACAATGAACAAAAATTAGCTTACACTCCTCGCGATGATGACATCAACAACAATAACAACGATTTTATTTCATTTAATAAAATGAAATGATATTTTTTAATTTGCTGGAATATCATTTAGAATAACAAATAGAACAATCAAATGACACGATTACTAAATGATCATTTTCGGTACAAATAAATATTAGAACATTGGAATCTACTTCATTAGATAGTCTGTGTGGTATGGCAAGCATGACACTCCTCTTTTAATTTCCTACACTCCTCATTGCAGTGTTCTTCAGAAAAATTACCAGAAGCTACGACACATGCATTTATGCACCCAAATTCATTGGTTTTGTAACATTCAGCAAAGCACCCACACAAGTTTATGCATTTTTCATGATTCATTCTGCTACCAATGTTATCGTCATCACCAACTTTAAGTTGGTAGTAATTGAAAGAGCATGGACTAATGAAGATCTATACAGCTTCTCCTAATGTTTTACTAAAAAGGAAAACTAAAACAAACCCCAGAACCATAACATGATGAGTGCTTATCTCTTGAGCTCTAGGAGGAGCCCTAAGAAGGAAAATATGAGGGTTTTGGAAGAAGGATATTGGATTGAATGGATTATATCCATTCATTGGCCATCTTATCCTCTGGTACATATATATATATATATATATATATATATATATATATATATATCTTACTCCCCCGTCCCATAATTATTGTTCACTTTGCCCAAAAAATTTTGTCCCAAAATTATTGTCCAATTTGACTTTTTATGGATCAAGTTACACATTTGTCCTTAGTAAAAAACATTTTTCAAAAAAAATTTAGTGGTTAAACAATTACTTATGTAGGGGTATATCCGGTTGTTTAAGGTAAAATATAGTTAAGTTTGACCAAAAATAAAATCTTTTATTTTAGTAAAACTGGACAATAATTATGGGATGGAGGGAGTACTATATTAGAAACAAAAACCACACTTAAGAGAAAGCACCACCATTTGTCATGTGGTATTTTCACATCATATTTTTAAAATAAATTTTATTTCCACATCTCCTAGACTTAAAAGGTAAATGCAGTCCAAATCCACTTCCACCTCCTATTTTCGCCAAAAGAAAAAAAAACATGAGTTCATAAAATACCCATATCCTCATCCCCATCTCTACCACAATGGACTCCCTAATCAATCCCTTCTCCACCAAAAAAAAAAAATTCCTCGTTATTCGTCAATTGAGAATATGTGGTGAAATATACTCCATTCTAATTAGCATGTTCAATCTTTTCGTTAGTGATGATCAACTACATCCTAATTGGATAAAATTTTGACTTCAAAAAATATTTTTTTTACCTCTTTATATAAATATAAATACAAATGAAAAAAAAATTCTCATTAATCTTGCTTCGGCCGTTGTGATGGTGCAATTACAGGTATCAAAATTTAAATGATTTTATTTCCACAGATCATTTGTTTGGCTTTTAATATTTTTTGCCTTTTTCGTTCAAGAATAGTGTTATTACTATTATTTTTATTCGTCTATCCGTTACAGTTACCGTAACCGTTGTCAAGTAATATCATGTAAACCCTGAATCCAAAACCCTATACCCTAAACCCTAAAACCCTAAATCCTAAACCCGTAAACCTTAAAACCCTAAACCATAAATCTTAAACCGTAAACCCTAAACCCTAAACACATCTTGCTTCAGATGAAATCAGAATATGGGCTGAGGATGGCACTGGAAACAGACCGACACTTTTTTTTAATGATTGGAATAGATTTGTTTTTTTTTTAATTCAATCATTAAGACGTGTCAAATCCAGTCAAATGCTCTTGATCTGCACAGGACCCTAAAGCCTAAACCTCTTGATCTGCAGTCAAATGTTCTACCACTAAGCGAAATGATTTTTTTTTAATTCAATCAGTGTGTTACAATGAGTGTTACAAGAAAGTGTCACAGAGGATTTAGTGCTTACATGACATCATGTTCTAAACATTAATGGTATTTTTCATAATTAGGGTTTACCATAATTGGTACTCATAATTGTTTCATAATCGATGAATCCATGCTTGTTTCATAATTGGTACTCAACTACCATTTCAAATTATGGCAAAATTCTTACATAGAGTCTGGGGAAAGAATGGAATAGAAAAGATCTTAAGGAGGGATGAAGGATACTTCATAGTTTAGATGAAATCAGAACATGGCTGAGGATGGCACTGGAAACAGACTTAGCACTTTTCTTTTAATGATTGAAATAGATTTTTTTTAATTCAATCATTAAGACGTCATGAATCCTCCTCCCTCTCTCTTGACGTAACCCTAGATCTACGTCGGCGATGGCCCGAGGGAGTGGCAGAGGAGGATCAGCGGCGAATGAATCGTTGAGATCGAGCGACAAAGAGAGCGGAAAGCAGCAGAAACCACTAGATGAATCGCGAAAAGGTACGGAATTGAATTGGGATAAGATGAATGAGGATAAGAGAATCGGGGATGTGGAGGCAACAGAGACAGTTGATTCCTTGGGGGTTCAGTCTGAAAGCAGCAACACTTCTGGAAAGGTTAGGAACAACTCTTCCAAAACTGAATTGAATCGGATTATTGTGAATTTGAATCATGGGTTAGAAAGTGGTAGCAAACTGGGGCAAAAGTTAGAGGCAGGGGGGACATTTGGGCTTAAGTTACAGGGTTGGGCTTCCTTTCATCTGGATAAGCTTAAGTTACAGAGTACGGATATAGAGTATGTAGAGCCTGGGGAAATAGATAATCAAAAGTTTGTGCGTATTACTCATAATGATGTGGAGACCGAAATTGAATACTAGAAGAACACTGTTACTTGTTTCATAACTGGTACTCAACTACCGTTTCAAATTATGGCAAAATTCCTACATAGAGTCTAGGGAAAGCATGGAATAGAAAAGATCTTAAGAAGGGATGAAGGATACTTCATAGTTCAGATGAAATCAGAACATGGGATGAGGATGGCACTGGAAACAGACCAGCACTTTTACGGAAGCCATTAGTGATGAAGGGGTGGAATGCAAAGAATGGGTTCAAGAATGAGGATATACTAAGGGTTCCTGTATGGATTCAGCTCCCGGATCTAGAGCTGAAGTATCGAGGGTGCTAAAACACTTAGAAAAATGCTGAGTTTGATTGGCAAACCAAAGAAGATGGACGAGATGACTAGCAACAAGTTCCGTGCAGGGTTTGATAGGGTGATGGTGGTAATGGAGATACAAGAGTCCTTACCTAAAACTATGATGTTTGTTAATGAAGATGGCCAGTTGCAGGAGCAAAGACTGGTATTTGGATGGAAACCAATGAAATGTAGTCAATGCGGTGGATATGGGCATAAAAAACAGGAATGTAAAATCCCTGTTAAACCAGAAGGGAAGATGAAAGAAAGCACAGAAGTGAAGGGATCTGATGAAGCCAAAACTGGCCAAGCAAATGCAAAAGACTTGGGAAGCAAAGGCAAGGAGAGAGGGATGCCGGAGGCAGTAGCCAAAGGACAAACCAGTAAGGCAGGTAGAGTAGTTGTGAAGAGGAGGGGAAAACCAACCTGTCAGGATACCATGCTTGCTAACCAGGATGCAGGGGGAGGAAGTAAACGAGATGGGAATGACGAACAAGGGTGGGTGAACAAGAAGAGTACCCAATTTGGAAACGAGAGAGAACCCTTAAATCCTGATCCAAACATATCAATCTCACAATGTGGACTATCAGAGGATTCAACCATCCTCTGAAACACCAGGAACTGGGAAATTTGATCAGGGGACACAATATAGGACTAGCAGGGGTACTGGAATCAAACCTGAGTAAAGAAAACGCCAAAGAGATGATGATGAAGTGGTGGAAGGGATATGAATATGTTGAGAATGCAGAGGGAACTGAGAAGGGTAGGATATTGTTAATGTGGAAAGTAGAGGATTATGTGGTGGATGTGCTTAGGGTACATGAACAGTTTATCCATTGCAAAGCAAGGGATAGATTGGGGATGAATGAGTTTTCTCTCACAGTTGTCTACGCTAAGAACTCTCCATGGGAGCGTTCTAAACTGTGGTTGGAACTAATGGCAATGCAATAGAGTTATCAGGTGTGGCTGCTTGGTGGCGATTTCAACTGTATTACGGAAGAAGAAGAGAAGCTGGGTGGAACATCCTTTAAAACTCAGGAGATGGGGGAATTTAGGAGAATGATGGATGCTTGTCAATTGACAGAATTAAGGTCCCAGGGGAAGACTTTCACTTGGACTAACAAACAAATTGGGGATAACAGGGTGTGTTGCTAACTTGATAGAGTCATGGGTTCAGATGAATGGTGGAAGACTTATGCAGATGTAGTAGTGACAGTTTTGCCCGAAGGAATATCTGACCACTGTCCAATGGTGGTTAGATGGAGCAAACAGTATGTGAAAGGGATGAGGCCATTTAAATACTTCAACATGTAGAGTGAGGCAGAAGAGTTTTAGGGGGTTGTGGCGATGGGAGGTGGAGATAGATGGGACAAAGCAGTAAGTTGAAACTACTGAAAAAGGCACTCAGGGAACTGAACAAAAGGAAGTTTAGTGACGTCAAAGGGAGATACTATAAAGCACAAAAAAGACTAGAAAAAATGCAGAATGAGCTCCAGGGGAAACCGACTGATGTCTTGTTGCAACAGGAAGAAAAGAAGGCTTTAAAAGACTACTGGGATTACGGGAAAGCTGTGATCAGTTTTAGGGTACAGCGGGCAAATAAAGTATGGTGACAGCAGGGGGATGCATATACTGCATATTTCCAGGCAATGGTCAAGGAAGAGTAGGCCAGAAACAGAATTATTTCTTATGTGGCAGAAGATGGCATGCTGGTAGAGGATTGGACAAAGGTGGAGCAGCATTTTGTTCAATTCTATCAGAAGCTGCTAGGGATTGAAGTGGAAAGACAGAAGACGACAAGTTCTGTGTTCGATATGGGTCCAAAGGTTGGGATAGAGGACCAGATCCGACTATGCAAAGACTTTATAGCTAAGGAGATCAAGAATGCAATGTTCAGCATGGATGGCAACAAAAGCCCCGGGCCGTACGGTTATGGAAGCGGGTTCTACAAATCCTGCTGGGACTTTAGTTGGAGAAGATGTGGTAGAGGCAGTGCAAGAATTTGCTGCGAGCAAGAGACTTCTATCCAGGTAAATAGTACTTTAATCTCACTTATTCCTAAGTGTAAATCACCGAGAGATGCGAGTGGCTTTAGACCTATTTCTTATTGTAATGCATTTTATAAATGTATTACTAAAATATTTAGTGATAGATTGAGTAGAGTTCTACCGGGGTTGACAAACTTAAATCAGGGGGCTTTTGTAAAGGGTAGATTATTTAAATATAATTTTTTACTTACGCAAGAGCTTATACGACTATATAAAAGGAAGGCAGTCTCGCTTAGGTGTCTTTTAAAGATTGATTTACGCAAAGCTTTTGAGAATATTTTCCTCAAATATATTTACTTATATATACCTGGACAAAAATAAACCTCCCATAAATTTTGTGGACAAACTTATATGTCCCAGGATTTCGGAAATCCGAATGGGGGGTAAACTCGGATTTCCGAAATCCGAACCTCTCTAAACTCGGATGAGAGAAATCTGAATTTGTGTTATGTAAGTCTGATATTAAGTTAATGATAGAAAAATTAGTGTAATTAATCTAAATCCGGATTTTTCAAATCCGTATTTACGAATAAAATATTAATTTCTGAATAGAAAAAAATATGTGTTGAAAAATTAAATTTGGGAAAACCTGGATCACGATAATCTGAATAAATGTAGATTCGGATTGCCGTAATCCGAATCTCCTCTGTTTTCTGCAAAATGCTAACTCTCAGTTGGCTACATACTCGGATTTGCGAAATCCGAGTCCTTTACAAAAAGTCTAGGTTCAGATTTCGTAAATCCGAGTCTGTGTCAGAACTGAAAAAAATTGGACTGTTTTAACCAGTCCAAAACCTGTTTATAGCACCGACAACAATGAGAAATTGGAAAACAGAAATTTAATAGCAACAAAACAATAAACGGCATTCGATTAACAACAAAACAAATCAAGTTTCAAACCAAAATCAATACAAAAACTACTTTAAATGTGCAAAATACATCAAAGGTCTCATTTTTTTCCTTTTCCTTTATTATGCGCAGGAGGAGTGTATTTATTTGGGCCCTACCGAATCCTGTCTCCCCTCTTAAGATACGTGAGTATTGAACTCTGTTGTGGTTGCGACTGTCCACCAAACTGAGGCTCGGGTTGGGGTTTGGATTGGGACTCCCCCATGGTGAGAAATTTGACTCCCGGTTGTGGTTGCGACTGTCTACCAAACTGAGTCTCGGGTCCACCAAGGTCAAACTGAGTCTCAGGTCCACCAATGTCTTCAAATTGAATCTCGACCTGGATGCACGAGCTTCGAGAAGAATGTGCTTGAATCCTCATTTTGTTGACCCTCAGTTTGTTGTTGCAATGTCCGAGGGGGGATTGGGACCTTTCTCTTTCTTCCTCCTCCAATCTTATCTCTCGACCACAGTTTCGCTTTTTTACCCGGCGGAGGTTGTGAGGGCAAAGATGGATCTTCATCAACCATGATTTGGATATCCTCCACTTCCATCCCATCATTTGCACTCAAGGTTAAAGCAGCATGTGTTTGATTGATGATATCGTCCAAATGCTTGTCGAGTTCTTCGTCTAAGAGATTCTCATCTTCTCGTTTTTCTCTAAACTTCTCGGAACTCACGCGAATGTTGTTCAATACTTCACCCTGAAAAGAAATCGGGACGTTAATTAAGAGAGTAAAATAAAAAAATAAAAAAATAAAAGGAAAACATAAGAAATAAAAAAAAATATAGAATAAACTCACATATAATATCACTCTGCTCGAAGAAGTCTCGTATCCTTGAGGTTCATAATTTTTGGGATTGGATATCAGTCTAACAGTGTTCACCATAAACCATTCATAGTACCCCTCATATACAGAGCCAGGGTTTCCTTCCTCCAAATGTCGTAGCACGTACTCTTCTCTCCTATTCCAATGATGACGTACTGCGGAATGGTGATCCACCCAATTGTTGCTAGGATACCCAGACATACTGTGGGCGTGATCGAGAAGAAATGCTGCGTTATCTTTAATCATAGGGCGCTTGGGAACATCCTGTATGTATCCAAATTGTCTCACAACTCTGCCCGACTCGTGGGGTTCCCTAATAGCCCAACAGAACATCCAACACTTGGTCGTCCAAATGGCTTGGCGTTGTTTACAGAAATCAGGGAGTCTATGAAGGACCTTTGTATATGGTAGCCACCGAAACTGCACGAAAAGAATTTATTTAGATGGTATAACCGGAACGAAAATAAATTCAAAATAAATATAAATACCAAATTAAGTACTTACATCTTCAACATGTAGGCTTGTTAATTGATCTCTAAAAGGTGGGGTACTGCTCCTTGGGGCGTCTCCGTAGGTGTACCTACATTCCCACCTTAATGAACAAACACGAAGGGGTACATTTGAATTAGTAAAAAAGATGAATAAGAAACAAATAGAAATAAACATTGAGTTATTTTGAACTGAAAATACGTACTGCTGAGCTAATGGAGCGGTCTCATCAATCAAATAATCTACTCCTTTTCTTTGTGACGCGATTCTGTCGATCCGCTCATACGCCCATACCTATTAAATTTCAATAATAATGTTAACATTTCAAATTATAACGTTGAAAGCAAAAAAGCAATTATAACACCAATTGAAAACTAATACGTACCTGTAGCAAATATAGACAGCCAATGGCGTCGCGCATAGTGTACTGTGATGCCTCGTACAGTCCAGAGTACAAACCAGCCACCAGTGCCGATCCCTAACTGTATCGACTACACTGATCCAAATCCTCAACCTAGGCCAAGAACTACAGATTGACAGTGTTTTGCGTCTTGTTAGGAAACATGAAACTCCTAATAAAATGCAGTATAAGTGTCCAGGCCCTTTGCTCGAATCGCTGAACTGTGGAATTCTCAGGGAGTGCACGGCCCATCTCATCTTTGAAAATACCAACATTGACACATTGGCCATTTACTTGGGCTGGACGGAATCCCAAATAAGTCTCACATCGATCCCGCCATTCATCTGCACTCCGACAAATTGTCGTCCCGTACACCGGGTCACCATCCACCCGAATACCAAAGAGGACCTCGACATCCTGTAGGGTTACAGACGCCTCTCTGAAATTGAAATGGAAAGTGTGGGTTTTTGGCCTCCACCGTTCCACGAACGCGGTAATGAGACCGAGATCCACTCTTTTGTAGCCTACTTTCATTATCCCCTCAAAACCGGCTCTCTTAATGACTTCTATAACCTCCGATGCAGTATTTTTGTATATCCCTCAAAAATCGTTGTCGTATCTACGGTCTTTGAGGCGGAATATTTTAATGTCCGGCATCTTGTTCTCATAGATAGCTTGGGACCTATGCATTGTTTGACGATATAGCATTTTATCTTGTATCGGTCCCGGGTGAAGATGTTTAGGTTGATATTCATATTCCGAGCCCGATGCCTCCTCCGCCATTTCAATCCTACACAAGGTAACCAAAGAAAACATCAATGCCCTAACTCATTATTTGGCCAAATTCAATACAAACCAAACTAATACACAATATCAAAACAACTAACACCAATACAACTAACACCAAACTAACTAACAATATATAGTTATGTATATACATTGATCAACTAACACCAAACTAACACACAATATACAATATCAAATTAATTTACATTGTTCAACTAACACCAAACTAATGTCCAGTAGGCAGTGCAACTAACACACAAGATACACAAAAATTCACACAGATAAATTAAGCAAGCAAACAATAAATAAATAAATAAACAAAAACAAAGAACAAGAAAAAGCCAATATAAACTACATCACAAATTCAAAATTTGGCCACCTAAATTCAAATGATTCCCGAATTGTCAATTCAAAATCACCAAACTAACACCAAACTAACTCATTGTTTTTCAATTTCACTACATTCGGATTCCTGGAAAAAAAAATTTGAAAAACAAAAAACTAAAGAGAAAATAACTTACCGAGAGTGGAGGGAGTCGCCGGGATAGGAGGGAGTTGCCCGGAGCTGAGAGAGTCAGAGGGAGTCACCGGGAGGAGTGGAGGGTTGCCAGGAAAAGTGGAGGGAGTCGTCGAGAGGAGTGGAGGGTCGCAGGGAAAAGTGGAGGGAGTCGCCAGGAGGAGTGGAGGGTCTCCGGGAGGAGTGGAGGGAGTCGCCGGATTTCTGGAATTGGGGGAAGAGTTTTAGGGTTCTTTTAAACCGGGAATTGGGGGAAAAATGGGAGGGGGAAGAGTTGACCGGCTATATATAGTCCCGTAAAACTCGGATTTCTGAAATCCGAAAATACAACATTTGGATTTTTGAAATCCGAATCTCCTCTGTTTCTCCTTAAATTGCACACTCTCGGATGCTTTCTTCAATTCAGATTATCGAAATCCGAACCCTTTGCTGCAGGAAATCGGCCTTGTTTTGGATTTCTAGAATCCGAATCTCCCCAGTTTTTCCTCAAATTGCACACTCTTGGATGCTTTCCTCAATTCGAATTTTCGAAATCCGAACTTAGTACAAATTGCATAAACCCGGATTTTGGAAATTCGAATTCTTTGCTGCAGGAAATCGGCCCGGTTTTGGATTTCTGAAATCCGGACGTAATACAAAACGCGTACGTTCGGATTTCGGCAATCCGAATCCTTTATAAAACCTTAAAATGAGCATTTTTATTTTTTGCACAATCCCAAAACATGTTATGAACAACTAGTATCTATTTCATCACAATCATAGCACCAGCACCAACAATTTAATGTTAACATTACAAAACCGAACAATTCAATGTTAACATTACAATCCGAATTTATCAATACATAAATTTGTCCACGTCTATTTAAACAGTTGTTATTCCAAATAACTTGCAAGAACACTAAATGACTCTCAATTCAAGCTGTCATTCACAGGTCTTCTATCTACTCATGGGTGCGAGTTAGGACAAGAATTGGCATCATGACCTTGTTGTCCACATCTCCAACATTCCCCCCGGCTCCGGCGTCCACTGTAATCCATTTTCATTCTATATCTCCTTTTTTGTCTTCGTCCCGGTCCCGCATGCAACACAATACGTTCATAATTCGGAATGATGTTCCAACTGACCGTCGGCCATTGTTCCTCATCGGGAACCAGAACAAAACCTGTGTAATCAAATTGTCTGCGCCACGTTGGAAGGCGCCACACACTATGGTATAGATCAATAGGCCGATCCCCTTTTCTCCAGCAAACTTGGAGTGAGTGCATACAAGGCATCCGGTACTCTTGCCACTTCCTGCACGAACACCTATGTTCATCGTAGTTCACCGTATGCAAAGACCCACCCCCGCCACTTAGCCGTGTTGCAGTAACAACCCGCTACATAGCATCATCACCATCAAAAGGGATGGCTTCAAAATTAGCTGCTTTGTCTTTCATTTTCTCGTATTTTTTCCATAACTCAGGAGGGATCGGTGTCATGCAATTTCTCGCAGACAATCGTTCTTCTCTGTAGAAATTCACAGTTTTGCAAAAGGTTGCATCGATCAAGGCTCTAATTGGTAAAAACCGGATCCCTTTAAATGCATTGTTGTAACTCTAAGAAATGTTGGTTGTCGCTATGCCCCAACGGCGAATAACAGCTTTCAATCCAGCCCAGTTACTCCCTCCAATCCCTCGAAGATACTCACATGCAGCAGGTTTGAATTCAATAAGCTCTGCCCTCATACGGTTACATTTCACTCTTGAAAGTGTCGTGCCCATTTTCCAACATAACCGCTTCACCTTTTTGCTATTATATCGCGACACATGATTGCTGCAAACGTGGCGGAGACAAACTCATCCTTGTCCACACATGAGGTATCTCATTTCCCCATCTTACTATATACATGGCGTCGGGACAATGGATTACAATCCCTTTCCTCATTTTCCAACCTTTCATCATCACTTTCTTCAAAATAACTCTCTCTGGAGACATCACAGTCTTCTTCGCTTTCACTTGGAGCTATGTAGTCGGGATCCGACTCTTCCCGGTAGTCATCTTGTGTAAATAAAGGTGTCTCCTCTTCATCACGGTTTCGAGAAGTACTAGCACGTCCCCCCCTTGGAAAACCACCAAATGACACGTTGTTTTCCAAACTCGCTTCTCTTTCTTCATGAGTGATATCTTCCAAATCTATGTATAAATCCAAACATGACATTGGATCTACACGGTTCATGAACTTTACATGCGAATCATTCTTGATCTTCACTACACGCCTACCACCGGAACTATCGAGAATCAAAGAAAGGTGGAGTTTCACGTGTGCTGGATCCCAACCAAGTGTCATACAAATCTTACTAATCAATCCCTCATATGACAATCTTTCCTCAACAAGCAAACCATCATCCGGCATATTCGAAAAAGTATTGATGCTACCATTCTCTATTACATGCTTGTATGAAACAAAGTAAGCATGTATGATACATTACGTGCCATTAATAACTGTTCAAAAAAAACATCAATATCTAATCATTTCTTAATAGCAAAATCAACAAATACACCATACATACCCCATTCATAATTCAAAAAACCTATAAAATACTAAAATACTTATAAATCAACTTCCATATCTCATGAATAACTATGATTTCTCATCTCTAACCTCAAAATCAACACCTAAAACATCCAAACAACTAACCAACATAAACCCTAATCTATCATACATCATTCTAACAATCAAACTAACATAAAACTAAACTAAATAACATGGTTTTCCAATCTAACCTCTTTCAAATAACGATTCCCATGTATCTAGAGACACGAATGCATCAAAAGCTCCAATTCGCCCTTGTTTGAGCTGCAAAAACAGAAAATCAAACTCAGTTCTCGAATGAGAACTGTCTGAATTTTTTTTTCTTTTATAGTACGTTAAACTCGGATTTCCGAAATCCGAGTCCGTAAGTAACTCAGATATTTGAAATCCGAATTACGGTGGCCTCGGATTTCCTGAATCCGATTTTGGTCAATTTCGGATTTTTTTATTCATTTTTTGGTCCTCCAATATGGCACATGCCTACTTCCATCAACCAATATTAAAAGAAGTCGGATTTCCAAAATTTGAATACGGAAAACCGGATTACGGACTTCCGGTTTTTGGATTCAAAAATTTCGCGCCTCGATTTTCTTTTTTTTTTCTTTTTGCAAACTCGGATTTTGTAAATCCGAGTACTACTGTTTATTTAAGGACTCCAGGTCTTGGACTCCTTATTTGAGTTCAAATATTTCGCGCCTAAATTTATTTTTTAATTAAATTCAGATTGCGCAAATCTGAACGGCAATGTTCATTTAAGAATTTTTAAAAAACTATTATTCAATAAAATTTATTTAATTATTATATTATTATTAAATATAGTCTCGGATTTCTGAAATCTGAATTTTGAATTTTAATCAGAACTCGGATTTCGGAAATTCGAGGGATATAATTCTGTCCACAAATATTCTGAAAAATTTAAATTGTCCACGTTTATTTTAATTAATTTTTTTTTGGGAAAAAACCCAAGCTTTTGATAGTGTGAATTGGGAGTTCATTTCTGAATTGTTAGGGGTCTAGGTTTTCCGGCTAAGTTCACAGAATGGACCAGTTCATTTTCTCTGAACTTAAATGGAAACCTAGTTGGGTACTTTCGGGGTAAGAGAGGCCTTAGATAGGGGGGATCCCATCTCCCCACTGTTGTTTGTGATGACTATGAAGTATCTCATTAGGCTTTTCAATAAAGAGGTAAAGCAGGGAACCGTCAAATTACACCCTGAAAACCTGAAACTTGTCAATATGTGCTTTGCAGAAGATTTAATTATTGTCTGCAAAGTGGATGAAAGCACTGTAAGCACTATCATGAGGAAACTGGAGGAATTTGGACACACCTCAGGGTTATGTGCTAACCTGAAAAAATTTCAAATCTATGTTGGCGGAGTTTCGGAGGAAAGAAGATGTAGAATAGAACAGATAGTGGGGTTTGAGAGAGGAACCTTTCCGATGAAATTCTTGGAGTTTCCTCTGTCTCCTTGTACTTGGTCACAGGCTGACTGTCAAGACTTGGTGGAAAAGATGACTAGTAGAATGCAGAGTTGGGCAACAAGGCATCTGTCGTACATGGAGCGGGTGCAACTGATCAATTAACTGTTGCTTCACATGCATCCGTATTGGGCGCTGGTATACATCATCCCAAAAGTGTAATAGGCCAAGTGGAGAGAATCTATCGAGAGTTCTTGAGGGGAAAAAGGGGAGATGGTAGGGCTTTCTCCTTGGTTGCATGGCAGACAGTCTGCTTACCAAGAATGGAAGGTGGACTGGGAATTCAGAATACATAATGCTAGAACAAGGCAGCAGTTGGCAAGCAAATCTGGGAAATAATAAAGAAGAAAGACTCTCTGTGGGTCAAATGGCTTCATAGTGTGTATCTTAAAAAACATGGGTTTTGGGAAGTGGGGGTTGTGAATGAATCAAGCAGGCACTGGAAGAAACTATTGGTGATTAGAGAAGAATTAAGATGGGGATACAATATCAACAGATGGGCAGTTCAGAGAAATGACATTTACACAATTAACTCGGGGTATAATTGGCTGAGACTAAAAGGAGAGAAACAGAAAGTTACTGGGATGATTTGGAACATGCCAAAACATCAGTTTATTGGGTGGTTAAGCTAGCAAAACAGACTTCTCACAAGGGAGCGTTTGTAGCGATGTGGTTTAGCCATTGCTGACGACTTATGTCCTCTCTGTCATGGATCCCCTGAGACCCAGTAGCACTTATTTGAGCATTGCAGCTATGCAAAAGAAGCATGGAGTGGCATAAGATGTTGGATGCAATTCCCAAGAAACTGTGAGCAGGTTAGGAAATGAAAGAGATTGCTCTTCATATGGAAACAGAGACCAATGAAGCAAAACCTTCTTTTTGCTGTTATAGAAGCCGTTTACTACCACATTTGGCGTAGTAGAAACCAGCAGGTACTGTAAGATCTATGTGGACTTTATACACTAATATATATAATTGTATGTTATAAGCTATCATAAAATACTGGCCCACATAAAGTGATCTAATTAAATCAACTAAAGTTTGGGCTAATTATAATAATTAAGTTATAAGGTGTGGCCCAATATTGTGTAGAAGCCCTAGACCCAATTTCCTGTTCTGTGATGGGTGGAACCAGGAACCCTATTATATATTGGTTGTGGTCCCCGGATAAGCCGTCATGCCAAATCTCGACTCCCCATTTGTCAGAGGTTCCCGCAAGGGCTTGACGGAATCATCTGGAAGGCCAAACCCGAATCTATGTTCTTGCCGCTACAGATTAAGGTACGCTTCCGCTTTTGTATAGTTCTCAATAATTTGATGTGAAGGTGTCTATAGTATTTGGATTATTCCAACAAGTGGTATCAGAGCTACCTTCATGTCAATTATTGGGAAATTCGGTTAATTTTGTGATAACAATTATTTCGGTGATGTAACAATCCAATCTGTCGTTTTTTGGTTTCGGTGATTTTATTATCACTTTTGCTACGGCACAAAAAGGATTGCTTACGTTATTCATATCTATGATTTATTTTTTCTGTGCTCTGTTTGCTTTTTGGTTTCGGTGGCCATATTTGCTTCGGTTTTATTAAAGTCAATCAGGCTTGTCGTACTTGATCTTGGGTTTATTTGTTTGATTAATAAATTAATAATTTGGATTCTCAAGCAATGGTGATTGTTCTTTATTTGTTTAAATTTTTTGATGAACCACTTATGTATCTAAAACAATTTAGCACGTTAAGGATTTGTTTTGCTTTCAGCCTTGGAATTGATATCAATATTGATCGATTAGTATGTTGATTGTGGATTAAAGCAGACGAATGTTTGTTATTGTTCAACTTATTAATTTCGGTTTTATGATTTTGATTTTCACTTCGGTCATTCGATTTCGTTAATGATCAATTTTTTATGCTTAATAATTCTAGCTTCAGTGATCAATTTTGTGTCTTTTCGGTGGCCGAAAGTTTTAATTGATTAAGCATATTGGTTTTTGGTTTTGTAGCTATGCATCCCAAATGGTTTAATTACATTAATATAGACCGTGGGTTTTGTAGTTTTAGTTTCCATATGGTTTGGTTGATTAAAGAATCAATTTTGATGCAAAAACCCTCTATTTTGGGTGTAAGGTCATTTAATTACAGTATCAAAATGGATTGCTTAGACCAAAAATCGGCAATTTCATCAAACTTGATTGCATCAGTTTGAACGTTTTATGCATTCAAGCTTTAAAGCATTCATGTTTTCGGTCCCGATTTGGTAATGTAATTTGGTTTCTGTCGATTTTTAAATTAAAGTTTTGGATTCAGTATTTCGTTTGGTGTTATGAATTACGTTCTCTTTTGGTTGACAAATAGCTGCCCAGTGCATTTGTAATGCTTCTGTTTATCAAGGTGCTAGGAGACTATTTGTTCGGTCAACCATTAATTTGGTAAAGGAAATAAAAGAAAATTTTTGTTTTCGGTTTTGTCCAAAATTTCAAGCTTCAGTTTCGTTCTATTAGATTTTGCTACGAAGTTCGAACTGATCACAAACAAGTCTTTTCTGGACTAAAGTTATTTGATAAATAATTACTAATTTTGGACTCATTCAGTTTGTAGCATATGTGATATTATTTGGTTTTAATATGCATACACGAATTATGATTCGATCAAATTTGGCATATACGGTTTAATGTGATTTAAAATCAAATTTGGCATATATATAAAATCTATCTTCAGACATCTTGTATTATTTAAATTGATTGATTGATATAATATGTCGCCAAAGTGACCTCTTTTGTATCGATTGATTAGTTTAAAATACCAAGATGATAGTTGCGTGTGTTTTGATTTCATGCGGGTAATGATCAGCCCAAAGGAAGTTCACTAGTTGGCCAAAATCAAAATATACTTTTGGTAATAAATATGTGATAATTATTATGATTTTTCCATGTGAATAATAAGTCGGTCCAAAGAAAGGCTTATTATTTGACAGGAATGAATTGTCAATGTTTGATTACTACACCAAGAGTACCACTTGCAAATTGATGTTTCTGTCCAAAGACTAAACTCAATGTTGCACTAGGTATCTTGTAAATGGGAATGCCAATTTGAATTTATTCATGTTATATTAAGTTTAGAATGTGAGCTTGTAAATATATTTGGTTATTTTAAGGTACAATTGATTCTGCTATAATTGTAATATATGCTTCAAATAACTCCATTAGGATAACTATATGGAAACATATAATTCGGAAACATTAAGGAGCATTATGAAATAATGAAAAAATTGTTCCTCCTGGCGGGAACGAGTATTCTTTCAAAAAGATCTTGTTTCCATTAGGCATAGGGAAAACGGGAACATAAGAAAATGTATTACCTCAAAGTATCATCTCAAATTAAGACTAAAGGCACTAAAGTTAAAGTTGTCTTATGACTTGCTCGTGCACTAGGAATGGATCTCTCTTTTACAAAATACGGTTAAGTCAAAAATAGTTTTACTGGTTTCATTTTGTATATATAAAGAGAGATTAAATTTAGAGATGATTATAGGTGCTCACTTACATTTAAAATTTAGGAAAATAAAGAAATAAGAAAAGAAGGACAATTAAGTTGCAGTATACAGTATCACAAAAGAAGCAAATTTAGGAATTAAATTTGGTTGCTAATTTTGTGATAATACTTCTCTGTTTGATTTAAAGAATGTTTATTTTAAGGTTCTTTTGATTTTGGTACCTATACGGACTTGGTGGGTAGATTCGGCATTAGTGCTCACAAAAGTGTATTTATGCAAGGTCGTTTGAATCACCAAAAGCCAACTGATGTTGAAAGATACATCTATATGGAGCATTGGTGAGACAATTATGGTTGAGGTAATAAAGTTTTAGGTTATCATTAAAGACTGTATTTTATTTGGACTTCAGAGAGATTTTTATTGTTCCATCTTTTAGGTGGAACTCAATTTATGTTTCCACATTGAACAAAATCCGGTTATTTTTTGTTCTTTTGGTAACATAATGCTAGTGTCTTTCAAGAATTCAAAGAAAGTTAATTCAGTTCTTAATTAGTTTATGGTAATCTTAATGCCGATTTTATGGTTTTCCTCAAATTCGTACAAATTAAAGTAATGGTACTACAATCAAATTAAGTGAGGAGAATTCCACATCAATTTGGTACATCCGTTTAGGGCACTTTGCTTTAAACAAGGAATTAAGTCATATGGAATTCTCAATTCACTTGACTTATCAGATTTCAAAAACTGAGTTAAGTGCAACAAGTAAAAACAAACAAACAAACAAAGTAAGATTGGGTGGCATAAGGTTTTCAGATGTTGTTAGAACTAACACATACGGATATGTAAACCATTTTTTATGGTTTTCTTTTAGAATGGTCAAGTATATTATATTATGTTCACAAACAACTTTCCTGGACTACTTTTTTGCCATTACTGAGAAGTACTGCGGACTAGACTTGTTCAAAGTTTTAAGACTAAATAAATTTTACAAACGAATTAAGTATTAGGTGAACTATGTCTAGGGTCATTGGTCTAATTTATCATTGAATATGGTATCGTCATATAGTAACACTATGCCGGAAAGTACTAATAGTGTTATTATAAGACAAATTTGGAAACTAAAGAATCGACTAACTAATATGACAAGTTCTACCATTTAGTTAAACTCACTAAGAGAAAAAGAGATAAAAGACTGCAACTTAATGATATGAAAGTGTCCCAACTAAAGCAACAATCCTTGTGGATTATGGGTATACAAATAAGCTAGATACATGCATTTTTCATATTTTGAGTTATCCGCTTAAGGCAAGGCCGCATAGGTCTACAAAAACGAAACTCGATTCGGTTTGTTTTTTTTTTGATACACTAAAACATAATAAGTTCTAAGATCCAAAAATAATCCTTCTTTTAGACGAAAAATATCTAGTTTCTTGAGAATATTGAGTTTGGAGGGGAAGATAAGGTTAATGACATTGTCTTTAAAGGGAATATTTTTCTATTCATATGGTAATTTAAGATAGTATTAAAACTTTCCCTCATCAAGACAACTGTAAAGGGCAAACTCAACAAGTTCAAGTACGGATGCCATTAAGGGAATCCAAAAGAGAGAGAAGAAATACAGTGACGATTAAAGTCATAAAATAAATAAATACAATAATTGATAAAAATAACGTTTAGGTTCTTTTCTCATTACCCAAAGGTGATGTAAAAAGATATGAGTTATTTTCCTGTTAATAACTCAAGTACTTTTAAGTTTTCATCTCATTTGGTTTTGAGGTGAATATTGTGATGATTATACACATCACAATTTCAATGGGAGTTGAAGGCAGATACTTAGTAATAAATAAATAAAGAATTCAGATTTAGATGTTCAGTAGCAGCTACAAGGTTACGCGGAATAATTAAGACATTAAAGATTACACGCTCACATATCAGAGTTCGGTCAAGTTAGAGATCATTCAGTATCCTGACTTCGATTCAGTTTAGTTGTCGATATTGTCACAAGGCTGCAAATATAGTATGGTCTTAAAAGACTACTTAAGTTATTGTGTGACAATAATGCAACAATTTAAGATACCCTAATAACAATGAACATTAAGTTCTTAATTGTTAGATTTAAGTTCAGAATGAGCAAATTTTTAAGGAGCACATTCAAACAAACTCTAATATCACAGATTACTTCAACTAAGGTATTCGGTAAGTATCTTGCTTAAATGAGTGTTGTGGAATCTGATGATATGACAGTTTAGGGGGAGTTTGTAATTTTAGTTTTACTAAGGGTTCATACATTTATGAACATTCAGATATTAATTAATACTGCAGTACAAAGTCTAAAGTATCAAGTAAAGTTTAAGGTGTAAGGTTAACTTTTTCAGTGTGCTTACATTCTGAAACTTTGGTTGATCTTACTGAAGTATAAAGAGGACCAGTTGGAAATAGACATGTTAAAGATCACATTACATGAAATTTTCATGCTACACATCCACACTTGATCAACGTCATTTAGTGATATTAATGTATGTGATCACTGATGGGTTTAGTTGTCATTCGTGCAACGACTGCCCCTTTAATCCTATGCTTATATAATTAATGGACAGGATTGTTTAAGTCACTTTATGATAGCAAATTATGCGCGCTCTTAAGTTTTTGGTATAATATACAATTATAAGGTATATATGTGGTGTATAGTCCCAGTGGGAGATTGTAAGATCTATGTGGACTTTATACACTAATATATATAATTGTATGTTATAAGCTATCATAAAATACTGGCCCACATAAAGTGATCTAATTAAATCAACTAAAGTTTAGGCTAATTATAATAATTAAGTTATAAGGTGTGGCCCAGTATTGTGTAGAAACCCTAAAGGCCCAGTTTCCTGTTCTGTGATGGGTGGAACCGGAAACCTTATTATATATTGGTTGTGGTCCCCGGATGAGCCGTCATGCCAAATCTCGACTCCCCATTTGTCAGAGGTTCCCGCAAGAGCTTGACGGAATCATCTGGAAGGCCAAACCCGAATCTATGTTCTTGCCGCTACAGATTAAGGTACGCTTTCGTTTTTGTATAGTTCTCAATAATTTGATGTGAAGGTCTCTACAGTATTTGGATTATTCCAACAGGTACATGATGGGCAATGCAGACCAGCAATTGTGCTTGTGGAAGAGATCAAGAACGAGATGAGATGGCGGATTTGGAGTCATGGAAGAGTGACTAGCATCAGTGATAGGAACTATCTAAGTCTTGAATTAATGTAATAGCATTGCTAGGAAAAGTGAGGAATGTCCAGCCTGTTTTGCAGTATTGGCATTTGTTTTGGTCTAAATGTTGTATATAACTCTTTTGATGGTATGGAATATAATTCACATTTTACCTAAAAAAAAAAATCCTTATTAGAGATAGCATCATCTTCACTAATAATTTTACACAGTCAATTTAGTGTTAATAAAAAAAAAAAAATCAACTATGTACTACTTCTATTGATTCATAATGTAGTTTAGTCACTCCGGGGTGTAATTTGGCTTGATCAAAGTGGGATTATCACAATTGCTTTTGGCAGTCAACAAGCTGCTGCTGCAGGCCAATTATCAAGGGTCTTTAACAGAGAGTCCATGTCTTGGTTCCCTGGCTGCAATAATTCATCGAAATCAAACCATAGGTCCGAGTTTGAAAAGTCTTCCTGATTTATTGAATTGTTTTCCACCACAGTTTCTGAATCTTCAATACCCGAAATTGTCTCTTGCAATGCTTCCTGATCATAAGTAGTGCTGGAGTCCGGTAGAAATCCATTACTGCTATTGACTTGGAGGAGGTTATTATTATTCATACTCTGTTTCTCATCTTCACTGTAACTCGATATCTGAGATGATGATGAAGATGGAGATGATTTCATCACCTTCTTTCTTGAGTTTGTTGCAGTATCAAAAAATTTTCTCTTTTTGGACACCAGCTTTCCATCGAAAGAACTCTTGGTGTGATCTCTCTTTATCTTACACAAGACATAATCCTCGCAATTGAATTTCCTGAGCCCAAAAGCAATTGGATTGATACTGTACTCTGTCATATTCCATTGTCCTATCGTTTCTTGGGTTGGTGATCGGAAGGTGAAGTTTCTCCGGTAACCAATCAATATGGATTCTCCATTATTATCATCAATCACGGTGATCGGCTGTTTTGTGTTGTTAGCATGCCAGGTTCCGCATCCGGCCACCCTGCACTTCTGCTTGTTCTCCGATTTGTTGGTCTTGCCTACGCTTTTCAGTTTCGTTGAAACGTAAAGGATTTCTTCTGAATGCTTGTCTTTGTTTGAGATATCCACCGACTGAAGCCACGGGATAAATTGGTCGGAATTGGAACAGAACAATTCCCAGGGAGTGGCCTTTTCGCCGTACATGTTGATATCAATCAAGAACTGGGATTCACAATCGGATAATGGATGACCCATAATCTTGTTCTTGAGGTAATGGCTCAGCAGTTCCTCCTCCGTGGGATTGAATTTCATCCCCACCGGAAAACGCATTCTCGGAGGCACTCTGTTTGGCACTCTGTTTCAAACGTATCTAGAGGTCTCCGATGAAAAATTGCAGAGGCAGAAATTAGCAAAGCCAGAGACGATTTCCCTCTCTCTCTCTGTCGAATCAGATCTTGGGATTGGTCTCGCTGGAATCTGATTTCTGAAAATTGGGAAGTAGGGTAACTTATAGTATTGATAGATGATTTGTAAGAGTTTCCTAAACTTCACAAATCCAATTCGGAAATTTTTGCCCTAGTAGGAAAGTTCTCGCCGGGCTTCAGGACGCGGCGCAACTTAACGACTACTTCTGAATGAACAAAAGTCCAGTGTATTTTATAGCTTTTCCAAAAACAAAATTCTAATAAAAAATGTAGATATTCGTATATTAATTTAAAAAATTGTAAATCCTAGCATCACTTTTTCAAGTCTATTCGTCTTTCTTTCAATAAGTTATATCTCTCACCAGTAATCAAGTAAATTGAACCTTCGCCTTCTATTTATTCCTTGTATTTGTCCTCTTGTGGATTGATGACGGAATGCCTCCATTGCAGAAAATGATGATTACTGATTAGTAACTCAACTGTGGGCTGAAATTTTTGTTGGAATGAACATGTTGAAAGCAAATTAAACATTGACAAAGACATAGAAAAAGATAAAGGCTTATTAAATTTATATCCCAACAAATCCCTACAAAGACTAAGCATATTAAACTTATCTCCAAATTGAATTTCAGGTCCCATATGATAGTGTTTAATCACCCTTCTCCACTTAGAAAAATTTTGTATAAAGGAAGAGATTTACCATATTCGAACCGGACTAAATTCTGAAATTTGCGCTCTGTATTAGGTCAAAGAAACATTTGATCCTATATATTAACATTTACTGAAATAATACTCCACATTTTAGTTGACAACTTTGTTTGTCCTATCAATTGTTGCGCCGTAGATTACATGAAAGTTGAAGGTGTCTAGGGTTTGGAGGATTAAATAATAGGTGTCTACGGTTTAATTGGTATAAATGCTATACGATGTAAATAAATTCTACAATGATAGGACAGAGTTTCAAAAAACACTGGCCGAAAGAGTACAAAAATAAATGATTTTGTTTAAAAAATAATATTTTATTAATTTATTTCGTTATTTGAATTTTTTATTAATTTTAAAAATAGATTTTTGGGAAAATAAATATTTTTATTCCGATAATACCCAAGTTGACTTAACCCCTAAGGTAGTCAAACTGCTAAAATAGTGCCAAAAGACACAAAAAAAAAAAAAATTATATAGAATAAAATATAGAGGATTGTTTCAGCCAAATAGCAGAATTTTTTCCTTAAATATATGTAAAAAACAAAACCTAGACAAACATAAAACTTTTTAAAACCTTGTGGACAAATTTATATTCCCCGGATTTAGGAAATCCGAATGGGGGGAAAACTCGGATTTCGGAAATCCGACCCCAACTAAACTCGGATTATTAAAATCTGACTTTGTATTACGTAAATCTGAAATTAAGTTAATGACAAAAATTAGTGTAATTAATCTAAATCCGGATTTTATAAATCCGATTTTATGAATAAAATATTAATTTCCGGATACTATAAAAAAATGTGTTGAAAAATTAAATTGGGCGAACTCGGATTACGAAATCCGAATCCGCTCTGTTTTCGAAAAATGGTGACTCCCGGTTGGCCACGGACTCGGATTTCCAAATCCGAATCCTTTAGAAAAGTCCGGGTTCGGATTTCGCAAATCCGAGTCTTTGTCGAACCGAAAAAGAATTTGACTGATTTTCACCAGTCCTAAACATGTTTACAGCACCAACAACAATGAAACATTGGAAAATAGGAATTTAATAACAACAAAACAATAAACGGCATTCAATTAACAACAAAATAAATCAAGTTTCATAAAAAGTTCAATACAAAAACTACAATAAATGTCCAAAATAATGAAATGTCTCATTTTTTCCCTTTTCCTTTATTGTGCGCATCCGGAGTGTATTTGTTTGGGCCCTGTCGGATCCTGTCTCCCCTCTTAAGATATGTGAGTATTGAACTTTGGTGTGGTTGCGACTGTCCACCAAACTGAGCCTCGATTTGGGGTTGAGATTGGGACTCCCCCATGGTGATAAATTTGACTCCCGGTTGTGGTTGCGACTGTCCACCAAACTGAGTCTCAGGTCCACCAATGTCAAACTGAGTCTCGGGTCCACCAATGTCAAACTGAGTCTCGGGTCCACCAGCTTCTTCAAAATGAGTCTCGACCTGGATGCGCGAGCCTCGAGAGGAATGTGCTTGATCCTCATTTTGTTGACCCTCAGTTTGTTGTTGCGATGTCCGAGGGGGGATTGTGACCTTTCTCTTTCTTCCTCCTCCAATCTTATCTCTTGACCACGGTTTCGCTTTTTTACCCGGCGGAGGTTGTGAGGGAAAAAATGGATCTTCATCAACCAGGATTTGGGTATCATCCACCTCCATCTCATCATTTGCGCCCAAGGTTAAAGCAGCATGTGTTTGATTGATGATATCGTCCAAATGCTTGTCAAGTTCTTCGTCTAGGAGATTATCATCTTCTCGTTTTTCTCTAAACCTCTTGGTACTCACGCGAATGTTGTTCAATACTTCACCCTGAAAAGAAATTGGGACGTTAATTAAGAGAGTAAAGTTCTAAAAAAAAAATGAAAAAAAAATGGAAACATAAGAAATAATAAAAGAAATCTACAATTAACTCACATATAATTTTACGCGGCTCGAAGAAGTCTCGTATCCTTGAGGTTCATAATTACCGGGATTGGATATCAATCTGACAGTGTTCACCATAAACCATTCATAGTACCCCTCATATACGGAACCAGGATCTCCTTCCTCCAAATCTCGTAGCACGAACTCTTCTCTCCTATTCCAATGACGGCGCATCATGGAATGGTGATCCTCCCAATTATTGCTAGGATACCCAGACATACTGTGGGCGTGATCGAGAAGAAATGATGCGTTATCTTTAATCATGGGGCGCTTGGGAACATCCTGTATGTATCCAAATTGTCTTACGACTCTGCCCGACTCGTGGGGTTCCCTAATAGCCCAACAGAACATCCAACACCTAGTCGTCCAAATGGCTTGGCCTTGTGTACAGAAATCAGGGAGTCTATGGAGGACATGTGCACATGGTTGCCACCGAAACTGCACGAAAAAAATTTCATTAGATGGTACAACCGAAACCAAAAGAAAGGGGTAATTGATCTCAAAGTAAATATAAATACCAAATTACAAGTACTTACATCTTCAACACGCAGACTTGTTAATTGATCTCTAAACGGTGGAGTGCTGCTCCTTGGGGCGTCGCCGTACGTGTACCTACATTCCCACCTTAATAAACAAAGGGGTACATTTGAATTAGTGAAATAAATGAATAAGAAACAAATAGAATTAAACGTTGAGTTATTTTGAACTGAAAATACGTACCGCTGAGCTAATGGAGCGGTCTCATCAAGCAAATAATCTACTCCTTTTCTTTGGGGCGCGATCCTCTCGATCCGTTCATACGCCCATACCTAGTAAATTGCAATAATAATGTAGAAACTTCAAATTATAACGTCGAAAGCGCAAAATAATTAAAGCACAATATGAAAACTAATACGTACCTGTAGCAAATATAGACACCCAGTGGCGTCGTGCATGGTATCTTGTGATGCCTCGCATAGGCGAGTACAACCCGGCCAGCAAGTGCGATCCCCAACCGTATCGACTACACTGATCCAAATCCTCAACCTGGGCCAAGAACTGTAGATTGACAGTGTTCTGCATCTTGTTCGGAAATATGAAACTGCTAATAAAATGCAGTATAAGTGTCCTGACCCTTTGCTCGAATCGATGGACAGTGGAATTTGAAGGTAATGCACGGCCCATCTCATCTTCGAAAATACCAACATTGACACATTGGCCATTTACAATCGCCGGCCGGAATCCCAAATAAGCCTCACATCGATCCCTCCATTTATCTGCAGTCCGGCTAACTGTCGTGCCGTACACCGGGTCACCATCCACCCGAATACCAAACAGGACCTCGACGTCTTGTAGCGTCACCGTCGCCTCTCCGAAATTAAAATGGAAAGTGTGGGTTTCTGGCCTCCACCGTTCCACCAACGCGGTAATGAGGCCTAGATCAACTCTTTTGTACCCTACCTTCATGATCCCCTCAAAACCGGCTCTCCTAATGACTTCCTTAACCTCCGGGGCCGTATTTTTATATAACGCCCAAAAATTGCTGTCGTACCTACGGCCCTTGAGGCGGAATGTCTTAATGTCCGGTATCCTGTTCTCATAGACAGCTTGGGACCTATGCTTTGTTTGACGATATAGCATTTTATCTTGTATAGGTCCCGGGTGAAGATGTTTAGGTTAATAGTCATATTGGGAGCCCGATGCCGGCGTCGCCATTTCAATCCTACACAAGGTAACCAAAAAAAAAACAAATCAACCAAACCATAAACATTCGGCCAAATAAACAAGACTACCAAACCATATACATTTGGCCAAATAACAAAACTACCAAACGATGTACACTCGGCCAAAAAAAACAAATCAACCAAACTTCAAATTATTCGGCCAAATAAACAAGACTACCAAACTATATACATTCGGCCAAATAACAAATCAACCAAACGATGTACACTCGGCCAAAAAAACAAATCAACCAAACTTCAAATTATTCGGCCAAATAAACAAGACTACCAAACTATATACATTCGGCCAAATAACAAATCAACCAAACGATGTACACTCGGCCAAAAAAAACAAATCAACCAAACTTCAAATTATTCGGCCAAATAAACAACACTACCAAACTATATACATTCGGCCAAATAACAAATCAACCAAACGATGTACACTCGGCCAAAAAAACAAATCAACCAAACTTCAAATTATTCGGCCAAATAAACAACACTACCAAACTACTATGTACATTCATAATTCACTATTTACACAACGATAATCCAACACAAACACTATATTAACACCACATCTATAAGCAATTCACAATAGACACAATTTAAATTCAACACAAACACCATATCAACACAAACCAACCACAATTCAAAAAAAAAAAAGGACTCGGATTTCACAAAGAAAAAAAAAAATTTTGACAAAAAAAAAATAAAGAGAGGATCGCGAATTTCAAACTTACAGTGAGGAATGGAGGAAGTCGGGAGGAGTGGAGGAAGTCGCCGGAGGTGGAGAGTCTCGGAAGGAGTCGCCGGATTGCAAGGAGTCGCCGGAGGTGGAGAGTCTCGGAGAGAGACGCCGGATTGTCCAGAGGAAGGAGAGACGCCGGAAATGGAGTCGCCGGAGAGTGGTGGGAGTCGCTGGAAATCACGGAGGGAGTGGAGGGAGTCGCCGGATTGAGTGGTGGGAGTAGCCGGATTTTTGTTTAATTGGAGTTTAGTTTTAGGATTTTTTAATTTTGGAATTGGGGGAAAAATGGGAAGGAAAGAGTTGACGGAACAATATATAGTCCCATCAAACTCGGATTTGCTAAATCCGAGTCTTCCCTATTTCCCTCAAATTTCAACTCTCGGATGGTTTCACAAACACGGATTTCTGAAATCCGAGTCCTTTGCAAATTAAAAATAAACTCTGAGTTCGGATTAGCGAAATCCGAGTTAGTACTGTTTCTCTTCAAATTGCAACTCTCGGATGCTTTTCACAAACACGGATTTCCTAAATCCGAGTTCTTAGTAAATTCGAGAAAGTCTCTGATCTCGGATTTAGAAAATCCGAATTTCCCCTGTTTCTCCTTAAATTGCAACTCTCGGATGCTTTTCACATACACGGATTTCCTAAATCCGAGTTCTTAGTAAATTCGAGAAAGTCTCTGAGCTCGGATTTAGGAAATCCGAATCTCCCCTGTTTCTCCTCAAATTGCAACTCTCGGATGCTTTTCACCCATTCGGATTTCGGAAATCCGAGTCCTTTGCAATTTCAAAAAAAAACTCTGAGCTCGGATTTCTGAAATCCGAATGCTTCACAAAACCTTACAATGATGAGTATTTTGCACAATCCGATTTTGATTATGAAAAATAGTACATATTTCATCACACTTTACAATCCGAAAAATTCAATGTTCACATTACAATCCGAATTTATCAATGTTCACATAAATTTATCAAACACTAAATAACTTGCAAGAACAGTAAATTACACTCAATTCCAGTTGTCATTCACAGGTCTTCTATCTACTCCTGGGTGCGAGAACGGACATGAATTGGCATCATGATCTAGTTGTCCACATCTCCAACATTCCCCCCGGCTCCGGCGTCCCCTGTAATCCATTTGCATTCTATGTCTCCTTTCTTGTCTTCGTCCCGGTCCCGCATGCAACACAAGACGCTCATAATTCGGAATGATGTTCCAATTGACCATCGGCCATTGTTCCTCATCGGGAACCGGAACAAAGCCCGTGTAATGAAATTGTCTGCGCCACGTTGGAAGGCGCCACACACTATGGTATAGATCAATAGGCCGATCCCCTTTTCTCCGACAAATTTGGAGTGCATGCGTACAAGGCATCCGGTACTCTTGCCACTTCCTGCACGAACACCTATGTTCATCGTAGTTCACCGTATGCAGAGACCCACCCCTGCCACTTAGGCGTGTGGCAGTAACAACACGCCACATAGCATCATCACCATCGAAAGGGGTGGCTTCAAAACTGGCTGCTTTATCATTCATTTTCTCGTATTTTTTCCATAACTCAGGAGGGATCGGTGTCATGCAATTTCTCGCAGACAATTGTTCTTCTCTATAGAATTTAACAGTTTTGCGAAAGGTTGCATCGATCAAGGCTCTAATTGGTAAAAAACGGATCCCTTTCAACGCATTGTTGTAACTCTCAGAAATGTTGGTTGTCGCTATGCCCCAACGGCGAAGACCGGCTTTCAATCGAGCCCAATTACTCCCCCAATCCTCGAAGATACTCCCATGCAGCAGGTTTGAATTCAATAAGCTCGCCTCATACGGTTGTATTTCACTCTTGAAAGCGTCGTGCCCATCTTCCAACATAACCGCTTCACCTTTTTGCTATTATATCGCGACACAAGATTGCTGCGAACGTGGCGGAGGCAAAGAAAGTGCCCACCATCACCTAAATCACGCCATTCATCCATTTGTGACATTGCGCTCAACAACCCTGCATTCCGGTCGGATATCACACTTACGATTCTATCATACACAACCCACAACCTCAAATTCCTCATAAAAAATGTCCAACTCTCTACTGTCTCCTCATCAACAATCGCAAATGCAACCGGTAAAATGTGCTTGTTTGCGGTATACACCACCGCAACAAGCAATTTACCCTTGTATCCACCACGCAAAAGGTTCCATCGATACAAATGACCGGTGGACATTCAAAAAACGTCTCAGCCACCGGTGCAAATGACCAGAAGACGTATTTAAATGTCCGGTTTCCCCTGTTCCAACCTTCTTGTCCCTCCTTCCATTCCCACTCTACTACAGTCTCAGGATTAGTAAACTTAAGCGCAGCGATATACCTAAACAACAACAAGTCATTGTTAAAATATTTCAATACATGTAAAAATAAAAATACTATAAATATTTCAATACACGGATAAAAGTTGATATTTACCGTGGAAGTTCTTCGAAATTGGAGGTCCAATCACCATAGACCGCTTCTATGGCTTTCCTCCTCCCGTGCCACGCCCTTTTGTATGGCACATCTACTTTCAATAAGGTCTTCACATCTTTCTTTGCCGAGGCTACAGTATAATCTACGTTGTCCTCAACCTTTCTCCTGATGAGTCTAGCAATCAAAGACGCGTCCACACACCGATTGTCATTATCATTCACAGGAGTCATGCAATTATGTGCATCATGCCATCTCACAATTTCATGAAGGCCGTGAGCTTTCAATGACACACGCATCTTCCACTCACATGGTGGTTCACCATCCTCACTTTCCACATTAAATGTTCGCACCGCACAGCCCACGTCCTTGGACTACTCGCGCGATCGTATATTCCCTTTTATGATGGATATTCCATAATTTTACAGCATGCTTTGCTTCTGATTGAGATTTGAAACAAACACCAATGTCCATTCCTTCGGGCGTCTCATCCCACATCTTAAGAGCAAACTCATCCTTGTCTACACATGAGGCATCCCAGTTCCCCATCTTACTATATACATGGCGTCGGGCGAATAGATTACAATCCCTTTCCTCATTTTCCAACCTTTCATCATCACTTTCTTCAAAATCACTCTCTCCGGAGACATCACAGTCTTCTTCGCTTTCACTTGGAGCTATGTAGTCGGAATCCAACTCTTCCCGGTAGTCATTTTGTGCAAATAAAGGTGTCTCCTCTTCATCACAGTTTCGAGAAGTACTAGCACGTTCCCCCCTTCGAAAATCACCAAATGACACGTTTTCCAAACTCGCTTCTCTTTCTTCTTGAGTGATATCTTCCAAATCTATGTATAAATCCAAACATGACATTGGATCTACACGGTTCATGAACTCTACATGCGAATCATTCTTGATCTTCACTACACGCCTACCACCGGGACTATCGAAAATCAAAGAAAGGTGGAGTTTCACGTGTGCTGGATCCCAACCAAGGGTCATACAAATCTTACTAATTAATCCCTCATATGACAACCTTTCTTCGACAAACAAACCATCATCCGGCATATTCGAAAAAGTGTTGATGCTACCGTTCTCTATCACATACTTACTTGTATGATACAAATTAAGCATGTATGATACATTACATGCCATTGATAATCGTTAAAAAAAACATCAATAACTAATCATTTCTTAATAACAAAATCAACAAAATACACCATACATTCTCTAAAATACACCATACACCATACACCATACATACTCCAACAAATACACCATACTAAAATACTTATAAATCAACTTCGATATCTCATGAACAACTATGATTTCTCATCTCTAACCTCAAAATCAACACCTAAAACATCCAAACAACCAACCAACATAAACCCTAATCTATCATACATCATTCTAACAATCAAAATAACACAAAAATAAACTAAATGACATGGTTTTGCAATCTAACCTCTTTCAAATAACGATTTCCACGTATCTAGAGGCAAGAATGCATCAAAAACTTCAATTCGCCCTTGTTTGAGCTGCAAAAACAGAAAATCCAACTCAGTTCTCGAATGAGAACTGCCTGAAATTTTTTTTCTTTTATAGCACGTTATACTCGGATTTACGAAATCCGAGTTTGTAAGTAACTTGGATTTTCGAAATCCGAACTGTGTTAGATTCGGATTTCATAAATCCGAGTTTAGTCAATTCAGGATTATTTTATTAATTTGTTGGTCCTCCAATTTAAAGCACATGCCTACTTCCACCAACCAAAATTAAAGGCATCCGGATTTCTAAAATCCGAATTCGTCAAACCGGATTACGGACTTCCGGTTTTTTGGATTCAAAAATTTCGCGCCGCGATTTATTAATTTTTAACTAAACTCGGATTCTACAAATCCGAGCTTTACTGTTCACTAAAGAACTAAAAAAACTATTATTCAACAAAATTTATGAAATTATTATTTTATTATTAAGTATGGATCCGGATTTACAAAATCCGAATCTCTAATATTAATCAACACTCGGATTTCAGAAATCCGAGCAATATATTTCTGTCCACAGATATTCTGAAAAATTTAAATTTGTCCACGTTTATTTTATTTAATTTTTTTTGGGAAAAGCCCCCCAAATAGCAAGGTAGAAACTAAAATGTGTATTTAACGTGATTTAAAGGACCCCTTCAAGAATTTAGTTTCCAAGCCGAACTAGTGAATTTTGACATCAGTCAGTCCAGTGAATCTGGACATTTATCCGTAATAATACCAAATAGTACAAATTTATTAACAGTGAATCTGGACACTTAATGTGCCAAATAAATCATATGAACGAAGCTAATCAGTTCCATCTTAGGCGGACACAAAAAATATTAAAAAAAAAAAAATCCAACTCCGAGAAGGATTTGGAAAACCAGTGGGAAAATCCGATCCCCAAATAGTAGTATCCAAATTGGAAAAGGATAGCTAAAAAGTTTCGGAAATCCTTCGCACTACAAATACAATCCTTCTTCTCCAAATCCCCAACATCTGATTATACAGAACACTCCCAACATCTATCTCATCAATACACTACTTTCCCGATTAATTGTAGCCAGAAACAAAAATTATAGAAACGGAGCTTTCCAAACAACAACTTCCTTACAGAAGATGGGTTTTCCGGTTGGGGTCAGATTCAATCCAAAGGAGGAGGAACTTGTGTGCCATTATCTGAAGAACAAGATTCTGGGTCATCCATTATCTAATTTTGAATCCCAGTTCTTGATTGACATCAACATATATGGCGCAAACGCCACTCCCTGGGAATTGTTCGGTTCCGATTCCGACCAGTTTATCCCGTGGCTTCCGACGGTGGATACCTCAAACAAAGTCAAGCATTCAGAAGAAAATCTTTATGTTTTAACCAAACTTTCGAGCGTCGGAAAAACCGACCGATCGGAGAACAAGCAGAAGAGCAGGGTGGCCGGATGCGGGACGTGGCACGCGAACAACACCAAAGAGCCGATCAATGTGATTGGTAAGAACGGTGAATCGATATTGATCGGGTACCGGAGAAACTTCACATTCCGATCACCGACCCATGAAACGGTGGGACAATGGAATATGACAGAGTACAATATCAATCCAAAAGCTTTCGGCCTCGCGAAATTCAATTGCGACGATTATGTTTTGTGTAAGATTAAGAGAGATGACACCAAAAGTTCTTTCGGTGGCAAATTGGTTACCAAGAAGAGGAAATCGAGAAATAGTCCTAAAAAGATTGTTGTTGTGGAACCATCATCATCTCCTTCTTCTTCTTCAGCATTGGAGAACAGAGTGAATGGAAGCGATGATGAGAATGTAGAGACTTTCAATAAACCAACGCCATTGGAGGTGTCAAGAAGGAAGATTGCATCTTTTAGAACGAATGACAGGAGTTCATTCGAGACTCGAAAACAAGATCCATTCACACAAATCGATCGGATTGAGCAAAATTCAAGCAAGTTTAAGCCACCCATAACCCAAAATTCTACGTATCTTCAGGGGAATCATCGAACCGATGGTACTCTTTCAATTGACGAAGACTTGGGGATTGATCCGAGTTCTTGGACTTTAATGAGTAGTGCCAGGATATATAGTTAGTATAAAATAGAGCAGCAACGCCCGTTAATTGGGCGAATTGACATTTGCTGTACTCTTATTCTTGCCATTGAGCATTAATCAATTTATACTTCTTGTACCCTTATTCTCGTTATCATAAGGTGTAAAAACATTATTTTTAATAGAGCTTATCAAAACCAAGACGTTTTCCATGAAATTAAAATTTTGTTGATCACCCTGGGGTTGTCCCAAAATTTCGTAGTATGAACGGAAATCCAAACATCTCAATCACATTTTGGGACGAAGGGGGACTAATCTACTAGGTTTGGTTGAAATCAACCTTTTTGTCATTAAAGAGTATAACAGATATAGAGTTTTATTATTACTCTAATACACTGAAAAGAATTACAAATGAATTTGTAAGTTCATAAAGATAACTAAGGATAGATTATCTCAACGTCCAGGTATTTGTATCTAACATTTAAATATTGATATGGTAATTATATATATAGTGTAACCACCAAATATTATGTATGAGTGCTTGTATTATCAAATTCAAGATAATTAATATTCCAATCCCTTTTTAATTACTCCTAGAAAACAGCTACCACTAAAGACACGTGTAAACTCCCCATACGATATTTTCTCACCTAAAACACAACGTTACTAGATGGTTTAGTTTGTAAAATTCAAAGCAAAGAAAATTTAAAATACATTTTTAGTAATCCCTAAAATATTGGCTATGATATGTTAGTTTGTGAAATTCAAGCAAAGAAAATAAAAAATAAATTTTTAGTAATCCCTAAAATATTTAGGTATGGTATGTTCTTATCCAAGCATCAACTGCAGGCTCAAAATGTTGCGTTTACTTCAAAGTTCAAAATGAACAAAATCTCTCAAATTAAGGCTATGATCATGTATATGTTCCACACAATAATTATCTTCCTAATCAAAAGACATTTCAATTATAATGCCCGGGCATTTGCCCTGGCCGAGTCACTAGTTATAATCATAACATTACCGTAAACTAATAACTGTGAACAAATTAAATTGAATCACATGTAATGAAATTTTGATATATAATGTCATGAAAAATAATATAGTAAATCACGAATTTCTCAATAGGCCTAAATGAATTCTTAAAAAACTTATGAATATTTTTTTTTCTTTTGTTTGAAAATTTGCATAATTTTCATGAACACTTTTTATACGAGTATGAACGTTTTACTCACATTTTTTATTTGGAAATAATTTTACCAATATCCTGAAAAATTGTGATATTCTAATACATATAATATGAAAAACAAGGAAGACCCTAACCCCTGATTCTTCCAGGTAAACAAACATTTAACTAACCCCTAATTCTCTTTCTAGCGAAACCCTAGAAACGACGACTTCAAGTCTTTTTCTTGACCATCATGGCCGGCGATTTGCCGCTGGCCCCTCCCCCAAAAAAACCACCAAAAACATTTGCAAGCTTCTTCCAAAAGCCCTCATCATCCGAATCAACCCAAAACTCACTCATTAAACAAGTAAAGTTCATCAATGGTATTCCTACTTTGGAGTATGAAGATGATGACTTTGAGAAACTTGTAGCCCCATACTGATTGAGCCTTGTAGGCAGTTCTCGTATGGCCGCCTAAAATGGAGGAGAGCCATAAGGAGTTCAAGAAGATTGGCTTTAATGGTGGCTATACGTTGGGTCTCATGAACCCTAGACACATTTTAATCCGATTTGATGAAGAAGATGACTATCAACGATGCTGGATTAGAATGTTTTGGAATATTGTGGGTTTCTCCATACACATTTTGAAATGGACGCCGGGATTCTGTTTTGAGGAAGATCCGCCCGTCGTTCCTATTTGGGTATCTCTATATGATTTGCCAGTTGAATTAATGTATCCGGAAGTCATATTCTCGATGGCCACTGCTATAAGGGAGCCATTGAAGGTTGATACTCCCACCTTGAACATGTCGAGGCCGTCGGTTGTGCGATTTTGCGTTAAAGTCGAAACCCTAAACCCTAAACCCTAAACCCCTCTTTGAAGGTTGGTAAGAAAGGCTGAAAGCACTAGCAAATATTCACATATGAACATGTCCCGTCATAGTGCTGCAACTGCTGCAAGATTGGACGTAAAGTTAGAGACTGTCGAGTTAGAAAGCCACCACCGCCGCAATTGAATGATGCTGTGAAGGAGAATGAATCGGTTCCAAAGAAGAAAGTCATTAAATTGCAGCAATTAAAAGGGACTTGGGGCTACAAAGGTCGAAAGGAAAATTCAGATTTAGACGTTAAGATTCTGCAAGTGCAACCATTAATTGTTAAGGCTATCGCAATGCAATCCAGCGAATCGCAACCCCTCCAATCGCGAACCCTAGCGCAAACCTTTGAGGCGTGTGCCGGTGGATCGACTTCAGGTTTGTCTACTAAGGAGAAAAGTAATGTTCTCGTTGACATCTTGGCCAGTCCTTCTTCGGGATTGTCAGAATGTGGATGCAATTACTCATTAAGAATGTGGTATAATGCTAGACGTTTCCATCAAGGTTGTTGATGGCGCGCATGTATCTGTTCTTACATCGGAGATAACCCCTGATATGGTGACCACCAATCATTTCGTAGCTCTTGACGCAATTGAGGAGGAGTTCACTAAAGTTGTTGACGTGGAAGGGGAGGAGAATGTGGAAGATTATTATATTGAAGACCCTTTGCCTACGACTAAAATTCAGAATTCTTTGGATGTAGCTGGTGATCAACATGATGTTTTTCTGTTGGGAAACTCAAGTCCTTTGGATGTTGATAAGAGTTTGGATGATGGAGAAGTCGGGAAAGCATCCAATGCCGAGGATTTGGAAGATAATGAACGTGGGAGTTGGTCTGATGGAGATGCCAATAATCTTAATGTACCTAAATCGGAAAAAAGGGAAGGTGCAGTACATAAAAAACATGGTCGGAAATCAAAGGATGAAAAGCCAAAGCAGCTAGATGGGTTGATCCCAAGGCGGTCTTTGCGACTGCAATAGTTGGTCACGATTTCATTATTATCGGTTTCTATGTTAAGTCAAATAATTTGGAACATTAGAGGAATAAAGAACCAAGCGTCGCAACGACGTTTGAAGACGTTGATTCAAAGATATAGTGTTTCTTTTTCTAATAATTCTGGAGCCTAAGTTGGATTTGGGTCAGCTTGAAAGCATAAGAAGGGAGTTGAACTTTGATACTGCTTTCTCTTCAAATTCCAGTAAAATTTGGGTCTTCAGTCAGCGTGACTTTTCAATTACACTGTTGGAGGAGGATGATCAAGTCATGCACTTTGAACTAACTCATGTCAACATTGCTGAAAAGTTCTATCTTTTAGCGGTTTATGCAAAGACCAATAGATTGGCGCAACAGCCTTTGTGGAGGAGCTTAATTGATTTTAGACAAAAATATGTAAATACTCCATAGATGATTGCTGGGGATTTCAATGTTATTCGATCATTAGAGGAATATTTCGGTGTCTCCGTTCGGGATCGTATGACCATATCTGAGTTCATTGATTGTATCTTTGAGTGTGATCTTCTTGAGCTTCCAACGATAGGAGAAGAGTTTACTTGGGCTGGCACTAGGACCACCGGTTGGGTAAGTAAAAAACTTGACAGAGTTTTAATATCAAAGAAATGGAATGATTATTTTCCAAGCTCCTCTGTAGAGAATTTGAATCGGACCACCTTTGACCATTGTCCTTTGTTGCATGTTTTTGCTGCGCAAGGGGAAAGCAAGCCGAAGGTCTTTAGGTTTCAGAAAATGTGGTTGCGACGGGAAGATTTTAAGGGGCTTGTCCAAGAATGTTGGGATCAGCTAATGGAGCAAACTGGAATGCTCCGTTTCTCTCTTAAGCTCTGGTGATTGAAGATGAAGTTGAAAGAATGGAATAAGAACGTATTTGGGGGATGTTTTGAAAAATTTAAAATTGGCGAAGGAGAATGTTCAGCAGCTTGAAAATGCTCATGATTTTTGAAGGTTAGATCAAGATCAGATTATTCTTAATGAAGCTAAGGCAAGATTGCTGCTAAGGCTTAAAGAGCATGATGAGTTTTGGTCGCAAAAGATGCTTAAATGGTTAAGCGAGGGGGATGCGAATACTACCTTTTTCATGCTACTTTGATGGAAAAAAGGATCAAGCAAAGCATTTTTAAAATTCAGTCGGAGGATGGCAGAATGCTAACATCTATAGCTGAAATTGATCAAGAGGCAGTGAGATTTTTTAAAAGTCTTCTGAATGAATCTGAGGATGAAGAAGATGGAGAAGCTGCGCAAGCATTGTTCTTGGAGCATATACCTTCGGTCTTAATTCCTGAAGATGTAGAATTTCTGCTGTGACAGGTAACCATTGAGGAGATTAAGGAATCGGTTTTAACTTGAGCGATGATAGTGTCCCAGTGATTGTTAGTTTTGGAGGGACTTTTTATATATCATGCTGGGACATTATTGCAAAGGATCTTTGGTTGGCTTGCCAGGATTTTATGCTTGGGATTCCAATTCCTCGAGCTATTTCAAGTACACTTATCAGCCTTATTCTGAAGAAAGCTGCGGTTAATACTTTTTGCAAATTATAGACCCATAAAGTCTCTACAATTTTCTGAATAAAGTATTTACTAAGGTTCTTACTGAAAGACTGAAAAGGATTTTGCTGAAACTCATATCAGAAGAGCAATAAGCTTTTTTGGAAGGGTGAGATATCTTTGATAATATAATATCAGCATAAGATTTATGTCAATTTCTAAACCGGAAGTATGAGGGCATGAATTTCGTTTTTAAATTGGACATGATGAAAGCATTTGATAGAGTAAAATGGAGCTTCTTGGAGAAGGTTTTGCTTAAATTTGGGTTTTCGCAGGCTTTTGTTCTCTTGATCATGAATAACTTGCGCTATAGTTGGTTTTCAATCATGATAAACGGCGGTCTGGTTGGTATTTTTCAATATTCTCAAGGACTAAAACAAGGAGATCCCTTATCTCCGTATTTGTTTCTACTAGTTTCGGAGGCAATGACGAGAAGACTCAAGAATTAGGTAGAATCTGGAATCGTTGCAGCGTATGGTTGGTGGGCTGTCGAAACCCCCAAAATAAATTACCAACTTAAACTGTAGATAGGATAAGTCGGATCGATCCCACGGGGACGGGTTAAACTTCAAATAACCGGAAAACAAACAAGAATATAAGAGTTGGACAAACAAGGAAGAAAATTGCATACTCACTTGCTCGAGTGACAAAGTCACTCATGTGAATGGACTCTGCAGAACTGAAGACAAACAAAGAAAAATGAAACCTCACTCACGGGAGTGAGAATTCTGACTCAAGGGACTGACTCAACAAACTGGATATTCATTCTCTTTTCCCTATGTAATCAAGTTGTAATCTTGCACTCTTTTGGTATAAATTCATACTCATTCAGGCACTTATATATATCTCCAAGTCACTTCCGATTTTTCCTAGAGGTATTTTTATGGACTCAATTAAACTATTTTCCAATGATTAATCAAGTCCTAAAGTCATTAAGTTTTCAAGCCTTATATGAATGCTTATGCTAACCAAGTATATTCCTATCTCAATTAGAACCTTGGACTATTACCTCCAAGTAATAAGTTGAAGCTAAATGATTATGAACCTTGTTTACCCTTCCGGGATTCACTTAGATCTGTGTACAACCAATCAAATGGCCAATTTAATCAAGAGGTAGATGAAAGCTTTAACTTCAAAACACAAAATCATCCGAATGCATTCACAGACTTAAACTACTTAGGTTCCAGAGAATGAAATCTAATTAACTACACATTGAAACTACAGAAAATACATGGAAAGAAGGAAAGGATTGAGAAGAAGCAAATCTGGATGGCTGAGCAGCAAGTCACTCCCCTGAGTGACAAAGGTCACTCAGGCGAGTGAGGTCTGTTATTCGTCTTTTGCTGCTGCTGCACTTCTTCTTCCTTTGGAGTTTTCTCCCCTCTCCAGTCTCTTCTTCTCTCTGTTTTGTGTTTTGTGTGTTGTATGTCGTGATGTGTCTGTTTTTTTGTTGGGAATGCAGCCACCTTTATAGATCTTGTTGCCGGTTCTTCTTCCAAGAGAGTCTCACCATGCTTGTGTATTTTTTATGAACCCCAATGCATTGTGTCTTGAATCCGATTTTGAATGGCCTTTTCCTCTTCTTCCATCAGTGGTATCAGCAACAACATTGATCAATGTGGGTGGTTGGTTCTTCATTCAAGGGGACAAGCATGCTCTTTAGTTTCAATTGTGGGACACCCTTATTAACTCCCAATGTGTCTTGTGTCTTGGAGTTGCTTTTTGACCAACTCAGCCCTCATTTTAAATTGGAATTAGCAGCTCAATTATTGCTCGATAATCCCCCATTTTCAGTATTTGTTCACTCCGGTCCTCACCTATTTAGAAACACAAAACTAGCTAACCAAAATGAACACAAAGTCTAAGAAACACCCCTAATTTCTAACTAATTAAAGAGCAAAATTACAATTCTTGTATGTAACAATTTGACAGTTATCAACTCCCCCAAACTTGAAGAATTGCTTGTCCTCAAGCAAAACAATCTAACCCCTTAAGAACTACACATAGAAACAAGAAAACAATAGCTAACCAGTGACTTCCCTGAGTGAAAATGTCATTCAAGCAAGTGACACTACTGACTCCCTTGAGTGATACAGGCAAGTGGCACTGCAACAAACACACAAGAACTTCACAGCAACTACCAAGCATAACTAGTTCATATGACAATCGGATACAACATCTCAGATGCAAGAAAAACAAGTATATTCTCATCCAAATTCAAATTTCACCTAGTCTTTACGAAATCACCTCCGTGTGTGTGTGAGTCATGCCAAGTATGCAAATTAATAAATTAGTATAAGGTAAATAACAGCTCATGATGCATATTTAGATATTTCTTAGCCTTATGACTCATTCTTTCTTACCACAATCATGCTAATGTGGCCAATACAGCCTCAGAGATATAAGGACTCTCACAATTCATTTCTTTTAAACTATTCTCCCTCATTCCCTTTTATTTACCTCCGAGTCTTTTGGCTTTTTCTATTTATGACTCATGATTCTTTTTCTTTCCAACTTCCGACCCCTGCTACCAAGAGCTTTCGATAGGAGACTTTGCTTTCCAGGCCAAAGGATCACTCATTGTTGCCATTTCACTCTAAGGATTTAGCAATGATGCTCTACCTTATACTCCCTCAAGTTCTTTTGAACTTTTTATTTACTCATTTTTGAGCATTCCGCCTACCAATTCCCAAAGAAGGTATTAGAGAAGGTTATTTAAGCTTGCCTTAGTCAACTCTTTAGCATGTAAACAAACCACACTTCGCATTCAAGTGGTAGTAAGAAAAGTCATTTAAACAGTTTTATGCAATTTAGAACACCACATAGCATGCTATAAAACTCAACTTCAATGTAACTAAGCATAAAAGGCATATGTGATTAAGTAGTGTAGAGATGATAACCAAGAGTTAGGTAAAATCAAAATTTGAATTAGATACAAGAAATTAAGTACATTGGTCTTCATAGATATCCAATCATCATAGAACTATCATTGAAAAAAATCCAAAAAAATTTATAAACATATTCCCTACTACTTTCCAAAACTTATTCAAAGCATTGTCCTCAATATTGACAAACACATAACATAAAATAAAAAACACATAACACAAAACAAAATGAACACAAAAGAGAAAAAATGCAGAAAAATGAAAAAATGTGTAGTCACTCGTAGGAGTGATATTCTCATTCCTGTGAGTGAGGTAGGGGACTGATGACTTCCCTGAGTTAGAGCAATTAAAATGGATGAGGAGGGCTTAATGGTGCACATCATTCATCGTATGCGTTTGATGGTTTGGAAACTCTCAGTTGTGTAGAACATCAGAACACAACAAAGATTCAGCAGCAGTATGGAAGAGTTAAGAATTTTTATGTTTCTCTATTGCCACTCGCTGGAATGACTTTGGTCACTCGCGGGAGTGACT